GACGCTCAGGAAGGACTATGAGCCAAGACTGTACTTGTTACACTGCACATTGCACAGAACAGTTCTGCAGTTAACTGAGGCAAGTGCATCTCTGGCTGCAACCACCTAGTTTGTCACATATTCTACTGCCAGGAAAGCCAAAAACCCCAAAATCCGAGACATCAGGTAAGCTCACACTCAGGGCACCGAAACTCTATCCAATGACTCTCAATTACATTCATAGTGGGTGTTTTCAAATCTGGGGTCATTGTCATTTTGGTCCAGGATGACAATATTGATCTGACATATTCCAATGAGTGGTTCCGCTGCCTGATCTGTTGCTGTCACAGTGATAGGATATTCCCTCTGTTTTTCTCGATCAAATACCTTAGCAGTTGTCAGAACTCCTGAAAACAGATTAAATACCAAAGAGTTAAAATGCTAAGCATTTGACAACATGGGACATGTAGATGTTTATTTGTCTGTCAACACAATGAGCTACAATGCAACAGGTTAAATACACCTATGACATGAACCTCAGGGTCAAGGATCTGATGGTAAGACTTAATTTCAGCAGCTGACATTGTATTTGCCTGACCAGCACAAACATCAGTTGCACTTACACCTACACACAACCTGACTTCAATGGAGAAAATGGAGAGAAGTACCAAACTGGCTGTGAGAGGATGAGTTTATAACAAAATATTTCTCTTGCAGAGTAGTAAGTGCAGGGTAAAGACATGTTTTGTGTCTTTTATCCTGCAGAAGTTCAGCCTGAACTTCCCAGACTTGGTTTCCTTGCTGCTTGTAAGACTAGTGTCCTTTGGATAAATCATGTCGATGCCATTAGCAATGTTGTGAGATAATGTGCACTTAAAAATATGTTTGGGGTTTTATAAAATCCAGTTACAAAGACACACAAGTTACTTCACACAGAATTTCCACATTTCAGGGAAAGTATCAGATTTACTTCAGTGCTGGACATGTATGAAACTCAGTTTCATGGAAACTTGTTCATGCAGCTGACACAGATTCCATTCTGTCTGCTGTCCAAAACCCAAATGAAAACCCAAGGAGTCTGATTTTATTTCAGCCTTTTTTCCATCAGTGTTATAAAATGGTTTCCCTATTCCAGTAAGAGTTCTGATATTTGCTCTACCTGTGTCAGGATGAATGCTAAATGCTGGTAGGACACCATCTCTGTGCATCAAGCCATATTTCACTATACCATTGACTCCTTCATCAGCATCAGTGGCTCCGACCTGCAGCACGACTGTGCCTGGTGGCTGGTTTTCCAGGACAGACGCGTGTTCCCGGTAATACTGGCACTACGAGAGGGGAGAAAAGCAAAACAGCAGCAAAATCAAGGACTTACCCTGCCATCTGATTTAAAGATATACTGGGGGAGGGGGAAGTTCAAAAGAATTTAGCTCTACTTGCACTGCTCTGAATGGTTTATCAGCACCATGGTGAATTTACAGACTTCACTTTGCAGTTACATGAACAACACACAACATGAGGGCTCTGAGCATCTCCAGCTAACGAAAATACTTGGAGAAAAAGCTACAGTTACTTGCAAATGCAAATATTTTGCTATACTAGCAAAAGCCTAATAAAAGGGAGGGCACACACTTCCCAAGGCACAGAGCTGCTGTGGCTGGAAAGGGATTTCTGCACAAAGTAACTGTGTCAAGGAGAGGTTACTGCGAACTTCCAAGACTGGCACGAGCAGCTACTGACTTTTCAAAGTATGCAACATTGCCCATCAACATCTGAACCACCAGCATCAGGCTTGACATTTTTAGACAACACATCTTGAATACGAATTAACATTCTGAGAACAAATCCAGGTACTTCTTTTTCAGAGTAGTTTATGCTAAAACACTTTCACTCTTCTCTCCTTCATCAGTTCCAGAGACACAAGCACCACAGGAGGCCTATGCAATTTAGAGAGGTACAACAGGTCCACTGCACAGATAGCTATCCCTATTGATTCCTGTTCACATATGCCACATTGAGTCTCCAAGAGTGTGTCACACCAGAGATGAGATGTGGCTCAGGGAAGACACAGTGCTCACAGGAGCTGTTCTGCCTCAGGACGAGAACATACCCTGCAAGTCTTGGGGAGGGATGGAAAAGATGGAGAAGACAGTGGCATCAGGACTCAAAGAACCACAGAGGCAGAGCATCTCTTGCACAGCTCACGTGCTGCACACTTGCCTTGACAACAGTCTTAAACATTTAGCACACAGTGTAATACAGACAACCAAGCCTCATGTATTTACCTTCTGAAAGACAGGTTTATTATTGTTGACATCATCAATTTTCACAACAACCAGGGCAGTACTGGTAAGAGGATGGGGCCCTCCCGAGGCGTTGTCATCAGTAGCTGTGACATTGAGTACATATTCTGTCCCCTGCAGCTGAGGAAATGGGCTTGAACGCAGTCTGACTAGCCCTGTGAAAACAACAGGTTGTGGGTTTTTCTACATTGACCAATTACCATTATTCTTCTCTCTAGTAAGCATGACAACAAACCAATCTGGTTTACCTACCCATCAACACACCACGAGCTGCTGCAGTTTAATTAACTATTTACTGCAGTCTGATATCCAACCAAAATTAAGGCATCACAACAGGTTTGCCTGCAGGTACATCTGCAGGCAGGAGGAGACAACAGCTACAACTCAGCTGACCTGCATGTAATGGCTTTCATCTATCTGCTGCAGGAAAAAGAAAGGCAAAAGAAAACAAAACCCCCAGAAACCATTGTGGCAGAGTTGTGCTTTACCTGCACCTGCCCCAGCAGAGATCCTGGCTCTGTTCCTGTACCATTACTGCACCCAAGTGTCACCTCTGCTGCTGTGGCTGCCGTCGCAGCCTGGAGCTTACCTTCCTGCAGCACAGCCACAGCAGCATTTAGCTACAGAGGCACAGCCTCAGAAACCTCTGTTTCACTCCTCTCACTCCTTGCTGGGTGGGACACCAGGCACTGCCAGAGAGAGATGTGCTACAGCAGCACAAGGGACTAGAGCTGTCCTAGCCCAGGCAGCAAGGAGCTTCTTTTGCTCCATCATCCATCCATCACTTCTGTTACTCATCAGCAACAACAGCAATTGTCACTGCAGCAGAGTATTGGCACAGCATCACTGTCACTCAGTTTGCTTGCAAATGTATTGATTTAGCTGCAGCACTTATCTGGGACATCTCCACTTTACCTCCACTTTCCTGCAACAAGGAGGTACAGACTATTCCCCTGACATTTCTGAGCAGAAACTGCTGCAAGCCACTCTATAAACCTTTATTGGTTTATTCAGCAGCAAGAACCCCAAAAAGGTTCTGGAAAAAAATGCTCATGTTCCTAAAATTAACTTTCAAAGATTATAAAAATTAATTGGCAAAAAAATATAAACATACCTAGAGATGATTATCTACATTAAAACCATAGAGCTAATCTGAAGAGATGGTGCAAATCAAATGTTAAGGTGCTTTGAGCACTTACAAAAAGAGTCTCAGAAGCATCAGATGTATTACTGCTGTGGCAATTAGACACTTCCAAAGTCACTGTTCCTCGTCATGTGCCAAAGCACCTTTAGGAATTTAACTCTTGGAACCAGCAACTCATTTTTAAGTCAGAAAGGAAATAGAGGAGCCCACAATAAATTCAGGATTGTGCTGCAACACTTGCAAGTTACCTGCAGACCATATTTTTGGGAACATTTCAGAATCTAACATTAATATTGCAAATCCATGATAGCATTGAAATTAAAATTTCATGCTAAGTGTACTCTGAGAAATAAAGAGAAGTAATAACTTAGGGCAGCTTCCTCCTTCCTATAAACTCAACCCTTGTGCTTTGAAAGACCTAAGTTCAGATTTTGATTGCAGTTCAAAATACAAAGCAGTTTAACTGAAGTTAATTAAGTTACTTCAATCCTTCAATGGGATTTCAATTTGTTTGCCTGTTTCAATCTCAAAACATCCTCTTTTGTTTTTTCAAACAATCAGCAGCAAATGAATCCTATCAATTTAGCAGGACATGCCAACCTCCTTGGATGTTGACTGGGTGTGCACCTTTTTGTTGTTTTTTTTGTTTTCTGATGAGGGTATCAATGTGGTGGGAGGTTTTTTCCCCTTTTGGGTTTTACAAATATGTGACTACTGAAAAGAACTTAGAAATATGTAAAAATTGGTGTTTCGGAACAAGCACCTTAAACTGCAGAACATTCTCCACACTTTTTTTCCTCATGCATGCAATATTCTTGGCCAGGTAGCACTGCTTACGTGAAGGATTTTGTCCTTTAGTGAAAAATATACTTTAGTTGAGATTTTATGCAATATTCTTGGCCAGGTAGCACTGCTCACGTGAAGGATTTTGTCCTTTCGTGAAAAATGTACTTTAGTTCAGATTTTACATACTTTTGCCTTCACTGAAATAAGGACTAGTGGTCTCATTCCACCTAAAAGTGCATCATTTGTGTCAATGCAACACGAGACAACTCAGCTAAGTGTTTGCTCACAATGTGCAATCAGGACAGAGACACAGCACAGCAGGGGAAAAAGCCTCATCCAAAAAAAACCAAATGTCCAGTTTAAACCAGTTAAAACTGAATTATAAAAGCTGTACAAAGAAAAGTATTCCAGTGACAACTGTCCTGTGGGTTTCCCTCCTCATGGGGCTGACTGCTAACAGCACCTCTGGCTGATCCCAGCAGGTGGATGTTGGGCTGGCAAACTGTTCCTGCTGCTCCCTGGGTTTGGCTGCTCGTGCTCAAGGCCAGAGCTGACACTGTGCCCCTGTGACTGCAGCAGCAAAGAGCCAATATATTACTACCTTTCTTAGGGTCAATAACGAAGTTTCCTTTTTGATTCCCAGACAGAATATCGTAGGTCACACCATCTCCATCAGGGTCAACAGCATTCACTGTAGCAATCAGGGTGTTTGGCCCTGCATCTTCAGCAACAAAACTCCTGTAGCTGTAAAAAAAATAATGATGACACGTTTACACATTTAGACAGGAAGGAATACATACAGAGCTAAGCTTTACAGCACCCACTGCCCACGTGTTCATGGGGCACTGCAGAGATTTGCAGTTACTAATACAATTACACTGAGATGCTTTGTCAAGCAGTGAAATGATAGTATTGATGACCAACCCAACCACCCAAACCTTCCTGTTGTTACCCTCCTCACATTCCCACTGCCAACGTCCAGCAATACTGCAGCCTTGGGGCTCAGCTGTGCAGCAAGACTTGTGCCAAATGCAGAACTCACTTGGGGTTTTTTAGTTTAAAAAGGAGTCTTGTGAGTCCCAGCACCAAAGCATTTGCCAAGTTAGAGCAGTGCTTGTTACACACTGCCTGACATGAGTCCTCCAAAGGCTTTCGCTGCAGCCTCTGCACCAGCATCACTGAGATGAGAACCAGATCTGGAGGATATGTGCATAATGTCAGTTTTACAAAAATCTCTTCTCAGGTCCAGACACATCACTGACATTGTAAGCTCTTAAGAGGCATTATCAGCCTAAGCTTAATGCTCTCTGGAGTAGAAAAGCTCCTGCTTTAGCAAAGTCCCAAATATTTATTATTTTATCATACAGGCATGGGCAGAGGTCAGGCTGAGCACAAAACAGCCCTGGCCATGGCAGATATGCCAGAGCTCAGCCAGAAGAACGAGCTGCTGGCTGCATCCAACAAAACACAGAGCCTCAGAGCTTGTGGACCCACTGGCTACACGCTGAGAACAGCAAAAAATGGAGAGAAAAGAAAACTGATGCACAGAAAACCTCTCCCTTTGCTTCTGTCATCAAGATATGTGTGTTTTCCATGAAACCTTCACAGAAACATAATTTTTCCTTTCCCCAGTTCTATATGCAATGAAGTAAATTATTCTGGTTTAGCTCAGTCACAACCCTCAAGACACTGTCTTAACTCTGCATCTGGAGAGCAAATGAACAGTAATGCTGATAATTTTTAACATGAAATCCAGGGGTAGAAGAGGTCAGGGGAGGTCTTTTAAAAAAAAGAGGCAGTAAAATCTGACAAAAGGAAGCAGAATGGTAGCCCTGAGCACTTCATAACTGAGATAAAGAATAACCATGATGAAAGGACCCTCGTGGCAAGGAATCCTGGGTTTGTACTGGACTGTAAATCTGTTTAAGCAAAGGGATAGAAGGACATCATCATCATCCTGTTTGTACTAGCCTGCCACAGACCCCAGCATTGACTGCAAACCACTCTTCCAATGGCCCTAATTCAGGTGTTCACAATGATTCTGTTTCACAGAAAACTTCAGCTAAAGTTCTGCCTGAAATTCACCTCTGGGATCGAGATTTTTTTCATAACAGGAAAGATAAAGCAAAATCAAATCCTAGTTAATCAAAATATTAAGATAACTTGAATTACAGGAGCCAAATTCAATTCCAATGTGATCTACACTTACACAGAGCAGCAGTTTCCCTGCTATTCCACAGAGAACAGAAAAGCTTCTAGTGAAGGTTTGGTAACTTAAAATAATGTTCATTTCAGCCATTTTCTTCAGCAAACTTTAATCAGAGCTGGCAGGGTTTGGGGGGTTTTAACTATGTTCTCTCCTTCCAGTTGTTAGAGTTGTTTAGAGCATCTTTAATAGCATCACTCACTTCTGATCAAAATATTAGAAACAGACACATTTTCAATGTCTCTGAGCATTAAAACAAAGAAATACATGAGAAATAGGCATCATCCAAAGAGTGAGAGACCTAAGCTGGTTTAGCATCTGAAAATATAGAGAGATCCAACAAGAAATTACAAAAGATCAAACTTTCCAAGCTGTGTCTCCTAAGCAATGTTTAGAAGAGAAAGGAAGGCACAACATTTTGAGACCAGAAGTTATCTTTACATATAGTAAGAACTGCCAGAAAGCTTTGATGTTTAGTTCAGCTAAACCTCAAGCTCAGCATCACCAAAATCTCTGTCTGGCTTTTGTTCTGAGCAGCTCCTGGTAGTAAGAGTAGAAGGCTGATGCAGAAGCTGACTGGAAATTCCACTGCTAAGAGCAGCTCCTGGTAGTAAGAGTAGAAGGTTGATGCAGAAGTTGACTGGAAATTCCACCGCTAACCCTCTAACATGAATGCAAGTTTATAGCACTTTTGGCATTGCTTCAGATATTTCTGAGCCCCAACTATGGAAGAAAAGTGCTTATTTTAGAAGGAAAAATATATACAGTTTGAAGGACATGGGACTAAGTGAAAGTAAGTGAACTCCACTTACTGGTGTTTATCATGTGGGTTTTATGATTCAGTGGTCATTTAGGATTCTGTCATCTAAGTGTTTTAACAGCTCCAAACCAGGGGTGCAGACTGCTGACTCTGAGTGCAAACTGCCCAATTAAAGGGCAAAATTCCACCATATCTCTAGATGAGGGCTGAGGGCAACACTGAGTTGCCTGTTTTTTCTGCCTGATTTCCTTTGGTGGTGGAAGGATCCTCTGGGAACACGTGATCTGAAATTGCTGCACCGTCTCTCTCGGTGCATATTGGAAAAAACATCAGTGCAAGATCTGTGAAAAGAGATTGTCTGTATACTACCTGTGCCATTTTACTGCTAGTAAGAGTTTCAGAGTCAAAAAATGGTCCTGCATTTGTCAGTGCAGCTCAGATCTGACTGAGTCACCAGCCTGGGATCAGCCTTGTGGCCAAAACAAAAACCCTCAGCAAAAGACAAAGATTACAGAGCTTTAAGAACATGTACTTACATTGTCTGGGAAAACTCAGGTGCTTCATCATTCACATTGGAAACATGGATCCTAACAGTTGCTGTCCCAGTCTTTGGCTCTTCCCCTTGATCTACTGCCATGACTATGAACTCATAGAGATGGTTAGGTCGCTCGTAGTCCAACTGCGTGGCTGGAAAAATCATACCATAAGAAGTAATACTAAAGTCTTGACTCAGTGTGTAATAGAGTAGCTGGGCATTCTCTTCTGAATCACAGTCAGTGGCTGTCACTGTGAAAAGAGAAGGGAGAGACATTGTGTAGACCCAGGTTAGTGAATTGGATGTTCAGCAGCACTTGCCTTGGCACACCGTGCTTGAAATGACTTAGAAAACTGTGCTATCCCCTGTTGCTGAACTAACTCTTACTTGAGAATAAGTCACTCAAAAAAAACAAAGTGAAGCTCCTGAGGGAATTCAGCCCCTAGATCTTTCCTTTGTCTGCAGGATTCACAAGGCCTTGTACTACCAAGAACATATTCCCACAGAGAGATGTATATTCTCACATCCACCTGACCCATACTGCTGACTTAAAACCGCTTGGACAGATCACACACTGTGCAATTAAAGATGGAATATTTACATATATTATTCAACTGATGTACATTATGTGTTTGTCAGATCCTCTCCATCACCTACAGAAGTCTATGCTAAGAGCAGTTACCAGAAGAGTAACTGACAAACTACCATTAGTACAGGATAAACCACTAAGCACAAGAGTAAGAGGTTATAAAATCCTATTGACTACAGAAAAGCAATTTTCCTGTAGTTTAATTTCCTTTTTCCCCCCACAAGATTTAGAAACAGTTTATTTAAGGATCAAAGACTAATACAAGGCCCTTGTACAACTGCTTAGTTGACACAAGTTTGGTTTATTGCTGCATTTTACACAGTGTTATCACTTAAAGCTGAAGTTATTGGTTCTGTTAGGAAGAAGCAAAGTATCATTTCAAGCATCCAAACAAAACTTCACATACAACAGTTAAACTGTACAAGAGGCTTTTAATGCAAGAGAGCAGAGTTCCTACAGCAAGCTCACACAGGACTCTGGTGATGGGCAGAGAAGCTGAGCTGAGGTGTCAGTAATTTCTGACCCAACATCACTTTCTTCCTTCAAGGAATGCAGCAAGATTGCTACTATAAGCCTGATGCAATGTTACCAATCACAACTGAAGTTCTCTTACTTCAAAATCCTACAGAGAAGATTTGTTTCCTTTGTCTCCTCATGCCCCAAAGCTGTTTGGGCTGTGGCAGTAGTAAGTAACTCTGACAAAATTCTACAAAGTGCCATTAGCCTTCAGAGACCTCCACCTACCCATACTGGGACAGGTAATTTTGCCTTCTGAACTGAATTCTAACTAGTCAGAGGGAAAAAAAAGTAGTCACAATGAGTGTAAGAAATAGTTTCAGGAGTACTAACCTTGCAGAAGTGCAGTTGTCATAGAAACTGCTTCAGGAACACCAACTTTGCTGTAAATTGACTGCTGAAATTCGGGGGCACAATCATTCACATCTGTGATTACAACCAACACCTTCATGGAGCAGAGGGGAATGTTAAACAGCAAAGAGAATCAGTGCAATGACTTCACTGCTCTAGGAATAATGGATGGATGAATCTCCCCAAAACACCTCTGAGATCTCACAGCAGACATGGCACATCAGATAGGCCTTTTCACTTAGGTGGTCTCTGCTGAGAACCCTTAAAATATTAGACTCCAAGATACTAGAAATTGCCAAGTCCCAGCCCCTGCAGCACTGTTCACTCACCCTCATCTCCATGATTACTCCCTGCTACTGATCCAAAGGGAAACAGCTCATCTGCTTTCCAAGCACCCTCTTCCCACTGCCTCATCCTGCAACACTTCTGTGATTTGTCACACTAAAGGCTTTACTGCCAAGCACATTACATTTCAGCTGTATAAATCTCCAAGACCAAGTTCTGAATTCCATTACAGCAGCACAAATCAGATGTAAATGGAACTGATTATGGTAAACCTAGTAAGAAGTACAATTTTGCCTCTAACATCTTTAAAAATGCTTTCTTATTCCTTTGCCAAATAGGAGTCCAGAATTGCTCTGCTTACACTCCAAGCAGTAAAGAGTGTGTAAATTAGCCTTTGTGGCAGTTCAGACTGCAGTCTGACGTTGGTTGAGACATTCTACCAAACCTTACACAGCAGGTTTGCGTCAACTGGAGTTGCTCTCTCAACCACTGAGGTTGTAGCAGCATAAACCAGGTACAAGTTTACAAATACATTTAGCCTAAATGTAGGTTAAGCCATCCCATAATCCTCCTTCAAGTCGTATTCTTGACTCTTCATCTTGTAGCACATAAAAGGGTCAGTAGAGGCTATTGGTCTCTGGTGTGGCAGGCAGTGTTGGTCACACTGACATAACTGCTTCCCTGTCCCTGTGTCCTCACACTGCTCCCAACAGCTCTGTCTCCTGTTCCCTCTGTAGTGTGCATCTCATTTCCTGCAGCAGGAACAAACTCATCCTGTGTGCTTTATCCCAGCTCAGTGAACCCATGAATTCAAACAACTGTAACAACAATATTTAGAAATATTTTGGCTGCCAAACAGCCTTGTACAATACCACAAACCACCATCTTTTAATATCTGTGAGGTTTTATGACTTTCTCTTTTCACAAGTTCACTGATACATAGGAAATCATTTTCTGTCCTGCCTTTGTTTTAGATTGGAATGATCTCAATCACCATACTGCATGAAGGTTTAGTGCCAGATAAGACCTCATGTCTGGCTTGGCCACATCCATTTCTGTATCTTCCCAGATAAGGCCTAGGAGCTCTGATGGGATGGCACACTGACTCCTCAGAAACAACCTTTAGAGCATCTCAGTACCTGAACCAGTCCGTGACATCTACCCACAGACAGGAAGGCTCTTAGAAAGGACAGCAGAGTGACAGCAGGAGCTGGGGAAATGGGAGCTCCTGGGGAGGCTGCATGGAAATGGAAAGGGGGAAGGAAAATGGAAATACATACAGGCTGCCCGAGGGGAACACCTACCTCAGCTGCACTACTGAACTGTTCCTCACTTTCCTCTGCTCTGACCAGAAGAAGATATTGGTGTGGGTCACTTTCATAATCCACACTGTGAGTTAAACTGATCTCTCCTGTCGCCCGATCAATACTGAATAGACCACCAGGATTAGTTAGCAAGCTGTAGCTCAGGGATTTCTTTTGATATGATACAGCAGTGACTGTAAGAAAGCTGCATTAAAAAAAGAAAAGAAAAAAGAGATGACTCAGGCACATAATACAACAGTGTGAAAACTATGACAAAGCCGCTGCGTGTGGGAAACGCTGGGGCAGCCCTGCAGGTCTGCTCAGAGCTGTGCTCACTGACAGCTGCATCCAAACACCACATTCAAGCATTCTGCTACACACTGGCTCCATCACCTTGGGGTTAAACAGATAAAGACAGCATTCTTGGAAGCAGAACACAGTAAGGATTAAGAACACGGGAAGGGAGGATTTAATTTCTGCTGCGGCCGAATTTGCCTACTCCAACTTCCTTCTATGGTAGTGAAGGTTTTCAGGCAGGAAACTAAGAGATAAAGCAAGATGAAAAAGATTCATTTAATAAGAGCATGACAAGTTTGCTGCTGCAGCCATACCACCCTACAGTTCTGTAGATAAGTGCAACAGGATCAAAGTCAGTCAGCACAGTGAGAGTTACAGCTTACACAGGACATATGATTTTAGCTCTTGTCTGGCACCTCTTTCCACTGAAGTCCAATGTGTTTAAAGTTTTGTGGAAATAACACTTGCAGTATGAAGTAAAAGAAGCAATTAAAAATAAGTATTTTTAAAGCATTTAAAACAGAATAGTGATTACCCAAGTGCCTGCTGCCTTGTCATGCAGCTTCTTGGGAGAACAAACCCCATCTCCAGGAGAACCCACCTGCACGTATGACCCTGTGACAAGTACAGTCAGCTGGTTTTAAAGTTAAGACAATCAACAACTACTAATTCTTTCCATATGATTTAAAAAAGCAAGAAACTGCAATTATTCAATACCACTTTTCTCTGTAAAAGAGTGACCAAAAATACATCATCAAACTGTATCTTGATCACTTCTTTTAAGACATTTAAATTGCTCCTCGCAGTGTCTATTTATGATTCACAACCAATACTGAGGCTCTGGGGAGGTCAAACAGAAGTTAGAACTAGGAGCACCATCTTACTGCATTTTTCAGCTGCTACTTACGATTCTCCTCGTGGAGTACTCTCAGGAACACGGACAAAGTATGACATGTTGGTGAACTGTGGTGGTCGGAACCCAGCAAGCACAGAAACCGAGGCTGGAGACCCTCTGCTTCCAAGTTTATCTGCTGCCACGACAGTCAGCAAGTACTCCTTGTCCCTCACCAATGGCCAACCTGTTGTTTTAATCCAGCCAGTGTCCTTCTCAACTTCAAATCTGTCTTCACCACCTAGAGAGAACAGATCCACCAACTGTTGTCAGCAAGAACATTTTCACTCGATTGAAATTAAGAGGACAATATGGTGTCAATTCCCTGGCTGGCTTTGGTTTAGGATCAGCATGCACTCTAAAGTTTAGAAGTTTGTTTTGACCTTAGAAATCAGTCATGACACTCATGATTACCTTTCTAAATTGCACTTTACTTCTCTAGACAATTATCACTCTTCTTTATCACAGAATCCCAGAATGGTTTGGGTTGGAAGGGACCTTAAAGAACACATTTACAAAAGTTTCTTTTAGGAGACTCAAAAAATTATCAGTGAGTCTGTACAAGCTCTGCACAACCCAGACCTTGGAAAGCTAGTTAGAGCTGAGCCCAAAGCATGACTCCTGCAAGGGACAGAACACTAACCCTCCTCTCCACCCAGCAAACTACTCCTCCACTTGCTGCCTTATCTCACTGTGGCAGTGCCCACAGCCACCCCTTGCCAACGCCCTGGGGACTCCTGACTGCTCCAGTCACATCATCCCCTGGGGACCAATCTGGGCAGGAACCCAACTTTGCAGGGAAATCTGTCCATACCCTCAATAAAAGTTGATTTTTCCACACACACAGACCTGAAGGCTTATGAATCATTTGCAGGAGGAAGGGAAGGAAGATCTTTCAATTAAAAAAAACAGAATAGAAGACAAAAAAGTCACAATAGTGAAGCCTAATACACAGGGAATGGGAGGGTTAAAATTTACCTTCCAAGAGAAAATATTCTACAGTTCCATGGATCCCTTCATCTGCATCCACTGCAAACAGCTTGTACACTTCAGTACCTTCTGCAGCTTCAGGGGAAACCACAGCCAGGAACGGGAAGGGCTCCATGGCCCATTCTGGGACGTTGTCATTCACGTCTGTCACAGTAAGTGACAAGTGCACCAAGTACCAATCCTTCCCTAGAGGGCACGGAAAAACAAAGCAATAATTAGACACCTACTAAACGGCACTCAGAGTACAGAAATCCATCGATACCTGCGTATTGTCTGCAATACTGTTGGCATGTAAGCCAGAAAAACTTGGGGTTTGAGGTTCTGCTGGAACCAACAGCATCCAGACACAATGTGGGGAGGAAACAACCAGCACAAGGACTGCTGCACTGCATGACTGGGGCCACCTATATTACCTTTGACTAAGTTTTCTTTTCAGGAAAGATCACACCTTCTTAAATTTTCAAAACGTAAATACATGTTTTTTCAAAAGTGTTGGGATTTTTTCCTGCAGAAATAAAAAAGCATCAAATATTTTGCTTATGCAAAGATGAAAGGAACTCCGAATTCTGAAAATTAAATATATGTTGCAAAAATTCTAAGCAATCTACCCTAACTAGTGATTTGCCTTTTTAGCAAGTTCGCTGAAATCCTAATATAGTTTTCACTTCTACTGAAGTTTAAATGCTGTTAAATCCAAACAGTCAAAATCAAAAAAAAACCCAAACTATCTCAGGATGGAACTATTCAACATTCCAAAAACTGAGCACAGAAGTTCCTTAAAAACTGAGGAAAAATATCAGGCAGGTGTAGCTGAAAAGGTGGCAGAAGGGGAACAGAAGACCATGACAGAGTGAGGATTTTTTTAAAAATTATGATCATTTCATCAGGGAGCACAGTACAAATCTAACTGTGGCCTCTGGGCCAGTTTGGCTCACTGGTACTGAACTGGTGAGGCAGTTTTGCTGGAGAAACCAGGATGAGTGTCCCTGCAGCCCAGGTGTGATGGCTCTGGAGAGCTGATGGGACTGAGCACAGCAGCATGCACAGGCTCAGCACTGTCCCAGCTAACAGGAACACGGGATGTGCTCCAGGTAAATCCAGGCTCTACATTTACATGACTTATCCATGACTTTAATAATGGATGTGAAGTCAGAACTTTTAAAGCTGATGGTGTTAGCACTTGATTTCGCTGTTCATTATTTATACATCCATTAAAACACGCACACATTATTTTCAAAACAGCTTTACAGGAGTTGAAACAACATACAAAAAGGAACATCTAAAATAATCAGTTTTAATTTAAGTCTAATTAATAATACAAAGGACTTAGTGTTTGAGGCTCTAACTATAAAGTGCTGCCAAAATATCTCATCTTGCAACCAGTGTTAGGGTGCTAAGGAGGTCTGTTCTCCCAGGAAGCTGTGCCACTTGGGCTGAACTGCTGTACCTGTTTTCCCTCTCTGCTTTAATTGCAGCATCACATCCTCCTGCAAAAAACATCCATGCTCCAACTAAAATCTGTTCCTCTGTCTGACACATGCATGTCAGACATGCTGGTGAAGGGACTGGAGCACCAGTGCCATGAGGAGAGGCTGAGGGAGCTGGGGGTGTTCAGCCTGGAGAAGAGGAGGCTCAGGGGAGACCTTATCACCCTCTGCAACTCCCTGACAGGAGGTTGGAGTCAGGTGGGGGTTGGTCTCTGCTCCCAGGCAACAGCAGCAGGACAAGAGGGCACAGACTCAAGCACTGCCAGGGGAGGGTTAGGTTGGATATGAGGAAGAGATTTTTTCCAGAGAGAGTGCTCAGGCATTGGAATGCGCTGCCCAGGGAGGTGGTGGATTCCCCATCCCTGGAGGTTTTCAAGCTGAGACTGGATGTGGCACTTAGTGCCATGGGCTAGTGACCACGGTAGGGTTGGACTGGATGATCTCTGAGGTCTCTTCCAACCCTGTTGATTCCATGATTCCCTGATGTTATCCCTTCACTCCCACAGAAGTACCACTTTATCCTCCACATCAGCCTCTTGCAAGCCTCAGCATTTAGTATACAAGAACCTCTGTCTGCTGGCAAGTGGCACATTCAGTGCCATACCAGAACCTGCAATCTGTAAACAGCCAGTAAGTGGATTGTTGTGAATAAAACTCCTTGGTGTTGTGATTAACAAAGTCAAATATAAGTATCTCAGTTTAGATTCGCGAGACTTAATCCATCACGACCTCTGAGTACTTTCTATTTTTACCCAGAAAATTCTCCTAATGGAAAAATTACCATTCACCCAAGATAATCAGAAGCTCTTCTTAGGTCAACTTGTAAAACTGTATTCATTCAGCTGAACTTCAGAACTTTGAATACATGGCCTTTTTTTCCCCATTCTCTAAAGGGCAGCAGAAATTGTATGGACAGTAACTTGTTAAACCCAAAAGAAGTTCTTTGCAATTACACCCTGTACCCAGCATCTAATGTTCCAGGGAATATCAGTTTGAGTAAGCACATATGAAAACATAGTGCCTGCAGCAAAACCAAACCTCTAATTCATCAAACACAGAATCAACCAGTTTCCCTAAAAAGAACCTTAAACATGCCTTGCACTGTTGCAGAACATGGGAACATGCAACAGGTGGTGACATTGGCATGGAAAAATATCTCAGTCACCATGGACATTAAGTCTTACAAAGTCTTCTCAACTCTGAGACCTGTGTGTGTTACGTATTATTGCACTTCTGCAGCCACAAGCGCTGGCAGGGTCAGTGTAAGGATGTTCAAATCAGCCTCTCTACCCAACACAGAGCATGTGGAGCAAAGCTGCCAAAGACAAACTCAAACTGCCTCACTACAAAGGAGACTGACACTGAGCTGCCCAAAAAGAGTAAGAGCAGAAGGGAGAAGTTCATGTCCAAGTTGCCTGTCTCTCCTCAAAGGAGCAGGACTGGTGTGAGCTGCCACAATTTGCAGTACCCACCATTAGCCCAGTTTTCCTGGGCATGCTGCAGGCTTAAAATAGTGAGTGCTAAATTAGGGGCTGAGTTAAGAACCTTTGAAAATCTGTCTCTATAATAGCAAGATCTACTGAGGATTTAATGCCACCTTGGTAACCCTGCGAGGAGTAGAAAGGCTACTTAAGTTTGTTTCTCTGGAGTCTGGAAATCAGTATCCTCATCGACCTGTGAACTCACTGTTTCCAGTCCTACCCAAACTCTTAACGTGCAGGTTTTCCTCTATAAAAAAATAAGTCCCAGTTGAAGAATAACTGATTTTTATTGGAGAAGTAGTAATAAGCCTGGATACAAACTCCACTCTTGTAATTTACAGAATGCCAGTTCACTGAACAGTAAGGTGCTGGGACTTGGAACATGTTTGTAACTGAAAAACAACTCCTGCAAGAAAACTGCACAGGTGCACCAGGACTGAGATTCATCCTCACATGCTCTAGCAAACTTTCTTGACCAAAAAGTCAAAGGACTCGGGCACGTCCCTCCAGGTACTTGTGCTTTCATAGTTAAGGGACCTTAATGTCATTCTGACCCCTTGGAAAGGCCAAGGCTTCCAGCAGTATGTTGTTACCTCTGAAACATGCAAATAACC